CCCCACTGCTGCCCCTCCCGCCCACCCTGGCCCCTCACCTGCAGGCAGCACCTCAGGAGGCCCAGCGGGACCTCTGGCCTGCTCATGTTCGTCTTTAAATGCAAACGGAAGTGGTCTCTGAAGTGGTCTGCAGGATCCCCTAGGGCTTCCCTGGCAGTTGCAGGGACTCTGCCAGCGCCAGCCACAGGGGCACAGCGGAGTCCGGGTCTGCTGGGTGCCACGTGGGGGCGCCCTCGGGCGCCTGCCACAGGTCCCATTCAAGGGCTCCCCTCTTGACCAAGGCCCTCACCTGATGATACCTGCCCCTTTGGGGTTAGGATTTTTGACAGGCACCGGAGGGTGCTGTGCACAGGCCCGGGCTCTGAGAGCGGCAGGCGGCGGGCTCTAGGGGAATCTCTCGGAGGGACAGGGCTGAGGGCGCAGGACCCCGTGTCTGGGGCCTCCCCAGGCCCCACAGCCGGCTGAGTCAGGGAGGGCCGGACCCCACAGGGTCAGGCCGCGTCCAGCACTGCAGAGGGGCCCTGCAAAGCCCAGGAGCTATCTGACCCGCTTGGCAGCTAAGCTTTTAGACTTCAGTCACTCTGCAGGCCGTGCAGAGTTAAACCACGCAGGTTAAAGCCAGACGCTCGGGGAGGGCCGCTACGACAAGCCTGACCAGAGTTGCAGGAGACCGAGGGCGCCATCCAGGCCGGCGGGGCCCCTGCTGCTCGCAGATCACCCGGCCCGTTGGGGTGAAAGCCCCTTCCCCATGCCCGCGGGGGCGCAGGGCCCTTTACGTCTCCACATTCCTTGGCCCGGCCTCACCCGTGGCCCCGGGCTCCAGGCCTGCTGTTCGGGCAGCTGGACGTGAGTCTCCAGGCTTGTGGCCGTGGGAAGTGGTGGCCAGGCAGTGGCCGTGGGTGACCCTCGGTGCAAGGGGCGGAAAGTGGGCCGGAGCGGCTCACAGTGACGGCTGGGGGAGCTCCTCAGCCTCTCTTTGAGGCCACCCCCTTTTATACCGTCCTCTCCTGCCCTTCGTGACCACTCATGACCATGTCCCTGTCCCTGTTGCTGTGTGCTCAGCGCTCATCACCCACAGGGCAGCTGCAAGGCCCAGCTCTGGAATCAGTGCTGCTGCTCAGCTGTCCGGGGGCCAGGTCAGCATTACGGGCCCTGCGAGGCCCGGGGCGCTGATGGGCCGCAGGGACCTGGTGGGGAGCGCGTGTCGGTCCGCGGCCGGGCATGGGCGTAAGCCTTCCTGGGCGCCGGCTGCCATCTCCCCTCCTTGCGGAGGGGTTGATGGGGTTTCCTCTTCTGCTGGACTCTGGTCCCGCCCCGATTCCTCCGGTCCAGTCTGCTCCCCTCTGTCTCACCAGCGCGACCACTGCACGTGGCTCGGAGGGCCGGGGCCAGCAGCTGCCCACGACTCCCCAGCCCAGGCCCAGTGGGAGCATGGGAACTGGGGGGCGACACCCCGAGCTCTGGTTTCCAGTCGCTCGAGGCCAAGGCCGTGGCCCCGGGACAGGACCTGCCGGCAGCGGAGCCTGCACCACTGTTCCGAGCGGCACCGTGTCCTGTTCAGGAAACAAGAGGCGGCCTGCGCACCCCCCAAGCCCCACCCCGCGTCCGGCCCCACCAGCCGAGAGGCGGGGTCCAGGAAGGCTCCTGCCATGGTTTAAGCCCGCCCCCAGGGACCCAGCCTGGCCCTGGCCCGGCCTCTGGGGCCCCGCCCGACTCCACGGCAGTTGCGCTGAGTGGAGCCTTCCCCAGACCGCAGCGGCTGCATTCGAGCAGCCTGAGTTTGCTGAAGGAATGCGGGAGCGAGCTCGGCCGGCGGTTGGCCAGGCGGGGCAGTGAGGGCTCCCTGACCTCACCCGTCTTCCATTCTGACTTGGAACCCCATGTCCCCTGACAGCCCCCAGTGCCCAGCTGTCAGAGTCACGGCTGCCTCTATCGCCTGTGGTCTCGGGGTGCCGCGCCGTGCACCCCACGCCCGCTGCCCTGCACCCCTGCTCCCAGAGAAGCGCCACAACCTGTCCCCGAAGTGAGCGCTGGCCCAGGGCCGCCAGAGCCCCGCAGCTGAGGGCAGAGGCCAAACGCCGTGCTCCCAAGCAGGGGACACCCACAGGTGACCAGCACTGGCCCCGCGGGGGGCCCATGTCCTCCTGCGAAGGGGCGGGGCTGGGAGAAGTTAATGAGGTGCCCTGGGCAGAGGGCAGAGCCCCGGGCCCATGGCCTGGCTGGGGGGGAGCGTGTGAGCACGGGGCGGCCCGAAGGCAGCGGCCCGAAGGCAGGTGCAGGCTGGGCGCGGCGTGGCCGCCGAGGCGGGACGAGGGTCCGGCTCCTGCCACTGGGCTTCCTCTGTGACCAGCAGGGACCTCCCGGGCTCCCCAGCTGGCCCCTGTCCTCCCCCAGCGGGCTCGGGGGCGGGGTGGGAGAGCAGCACCGGGCGGCTCCGGAGGAACCCGCAGCGCTTCTCGAGTGCCTCCTTGGCAGCCCCGCCGCTGACATGACACATCAAAGCGGGCACCGAGACAGCGCCAGGCGGGGAGCCTCGAGGGGCGCGGGAGGGGCCGTGCTCAAAGCCGCCAGCCCGCCCCCCGCCGCGCCAGCTGCCGGGGTGCTGTGCCCCACCGGCCTGTCGCCTTTCAACCTGAGTCCTTTGACGGGCTGGCACCCCGTCTCCTCTCCTGGTACCTGTTGGAGTGTTGCCTCCTGGAGGGGTGTCGGGCGGGAAAGGGCCTGGTGACGCCACCTCAGGACCGAGGAGGTTCTGCAGGGCTGGGAGGAGACAGGGAAGCGCAGCCGGGAAGCTTCCTGGGGCAGCTGGCAGGGCCTGGCGCCCTGTGCCCTGTCCGGCCGCCCCGCCCTGGTGGGCTCTTGGGCGCTGGAGTCCACTTGGCTGCGGGCCTCAGACCCAGGCAGCATCACCTGAACACTTGCTAGAAATGCAAATTCTCAGCCCCGCCCCTGGGCTGAGCCGCCATCTGCGCCTTCACGAGCTCTCCCGTGCGGTGCGCTCAAGTTGAGAATTGGCGCCGTGACAGAGGGCAGAGACAAGGACGCGGCGGCGCCTAGGGGCTGGGCCAGGTGCTGGACGCGCCGGCCTCCTCGGGTCTCTTTCCTCTACGCAGCACTCCTCGCTCGTTTTCTCCCCGGTCCCTCTTGCCCTTGACTTCGGCCGTCGCCCTTTGTCGGAGCCGTCAGCCCCGTAACTGTCAGGCGGACGCTCACAGGCTGGTCTCTGGGGGCCTGTGCCTGCCGTCCTCTCCCTGCGCTCCCGCTTCCCCTCCAGCGGGCCTCTCGCTCTCCCTCTGTGCCGCTTCCCCGAGCCCCTCGCCCGCAGAGTGGCTGCTGCGGCTCCAGCGCTCGCATCCGCTCCGCCTCAGCTCGGGGGAACGCGGGGCTTTCTGCTCCTGATGATCACCTGATGTTGAAGGAGCCTCTGCTGTGCCGCAGAACTGCTGTGCCAGGAGCCGCCCCCCAGCCCTGGCAATGCCAGGAGCCCCTCCCACCCCAGCCCTGGCAGTGCCAGGAGCCCCCCCAGCCCAGCCCTGGCAGTGCCAGGAGCCCCCCCAGCCCAGCCCTGGCAGTACCAGGAGCCCCCCCAGCCCTGGCAGTGCCATGAGCCCCCCCCAGCCCTGGCAGTGGGCCTAGAGTAGGGGTGAGTGAGTGGGAGATGGGGAGATTTCTGGCCCCTGGTGGTGCGCTGCCGAGGGGGGCCGTGCAGGCCAGGTGTCAGTGCGCCCCGGGCGGAGCCCCCTCCGAGGAATGAGCATGTGGGGTTATTGGGGGTGCTCAGGGTCACACTGAGCCCAACTCGTTGCACGTGGCATCTCACTTCGTCCTCAGAGCGGCTCTTTGAAGCCGCTGGCCGCTTTTCACTCACAGATGAAGAAACTAAGCGCTCAGCGGGCAGCCAGGCTGATTGTGAGGGCCCTCCTGGTGGTCCCGGGTCAGGGGCCATCTGTTCCCCGCCCCCCCCCCGGCCCGTCCTGAATCAGGACCGTCGCTCCCAGGCCCCAGTTCCGCCTGGCCCCGCACCTCGTGGGGGCCCCACGGCCCCCAGCCCTGCGGGACGCTCAGGGGAAGGCGGTCAGGCCCGGCCTCGCGGCCAGGGCTGTCA